AACCTCACAGTTCTCCACAGTGGCTGCGCCAGTTTACAGTCCCACCAACAGTGCGTGAAGATGCTTTTATTTTGGCCACGACCTCGCCAACACCTGTATCCTGTGTTACTGGATTTAGCTGTTCTCACAGACGTGGTGGAGGCTGACTTGCATCTCCTGATGGTGAGTGCTGTTGAGCATCATTCGGGTGTCTTGGCCGTCTGGGTGTCGTCTTGAGAGAAATGTCTGTTCGTGTCCTCCTTTTGGTTTGTTTTTTTTTTTTTTTTTTTAAGATTTTATTTATTCATGAGAGATAGAGAGAGAGGCAGAGACACAGGCAGAGGGAGAAGCAGGCTCCATGCACCGGGAGCCCGACGTGGGTCTCGATCCCGGGTCTCCAGTGTCACGCCCTGGGCCAAAGGCGGCGCTAAACCCCTGAGCCCCCCGGGTTGCCCATGTCTTCCATTTTCAATTGGATGGTTTTGGGGGGGTATTGAGTTGTAGCAGTTCTTTATATATTTTGGAGACTGACCCTTTTTCAGATCTGTCACTTGCAAATCTTCTCCATTCAATAAGTCGTTGGTCTTTTACGTTTTGTTGATTGTTTCCTTTGCTGCCCAGAAGTATTTTATTGTCGTGTAGTTCCAGTGGTTTGTTTTTGCTTTCATTTCACCTAAGATGGAATTTTTAAAAGGGGAAAGAGGCTTTTTTGAAATACAAACTGCTAGGAAGGAGTGTTATGCGCAGACTCTATCTAGCACCTCTGATAGGAAGCCCCTGTGTCCCAAAGAGTCCACCTTGGAGAAAACTTGGATTCTTTCTGGACGTCTTTATGATGTAAGTTTTCTACCCCATCCTCTCCTGGACTTCAGAGCCCTTCTTTGAAATACAAACTTAAAGAAGTTTCTCAGTGGAAAGGAAGGGAGGGTGGAAGGGAGGAAATCAGGCCTGTAATGTCCTCACCACAAATATTATTAAAAATAAAAGCTGTAAGATTTTTGCTTGTGTCTGTCCCTGTGTTTGTGTGTCCATCCATCATCCATCTACTGAAACCAGCCTGTAAACGAGCCCTATCTAGGTGGTTTGAAGGTGAGCACCTGTGGGATTGGGCATCCTAAAACTCTTAGAAACTAACCCAGTTGTTTTTCGGGTTCACACGATCTGAAAAAATACTTAGTATTGAAGCTAGTTTAAGGTTGTTGACTTAAAATAGACATGTTTTTAACATTACTAGCGTTAGAATTAAAATTTTGATCCTGCTTGAGTTTAGAGTCAGCTAAGTTGATGTTTCTCTGTTACAAAATGTTCAAAAAAATAATCATCATAGCTTGGGAGGATGATTGACTTTGCTGTCTCTTGAACTCTTCATGGGTAACCTAAGTTTGTTAAGACCAAGTATGTGGAATGGATGTAAATAACAAAAAAAAAATTTTTTTTAAGGAAATTTATTTAAGATAGGTTTCTCAGATCTTTTTGGTAATCTTGAAACTCTGAAGATTTGCTAAGTTTAAGTGACGGATTATGTTGAATTCATTGAATATCTAGGTCATTTCCAAATAAGGCAAAATGAGAAACATGAATTACTAAACATGTTTATCTACTTTTGGTTTCCTTATTACAGAGAAACTAAAAATCAATTTGGGTCTGTCAGTTAAACATGTTTTGCACTTTATTAAAAACTGGGAATAAACTCATGTTCCTAGAAATCATAAAATGCATCCATAACTTTGCCGATGCAAAAATTGCTGGTGTATGAGGCAATTCACAGTTGCTTACAACTTCATTTACCCTAGAAATTACATTTTCTAAGGGTGAGGAATTCTAATTTATGGTATTAAATGTACTAGAAATAAGGTAAGCAACTCTGCAAGGAAAGTGAGATACATGCTTTTGATAAGAAAAAGTATGAGACATAAAAAAAATACATTTTTGATGAGGGAAAACAATTTTGTCCTAAAGTGAGGCTGATTATTTGAAGAGGGAAAACTTAGGACAAAATATGAATATAAAAAGTTGTATAAGGTTCATAGCAAAGGAGCCTTTGGATAGGAATTGTATTTGTGGCCAGTACTGACCGAGATTAAATTTATTTAAGAATGAATTTTATCAAAAGTACACTGTGCCATATTAGAATCTTTTTTTTCTGTGTTAAAAGGAAAACATTCTCTTAGGTTATTGTTTTGGTTTTTGTAAGAGTTTAAAACAAAGTTTTCCTTTACCTTTCATGTAATCTGCCTGGAAAAACAAAGATTCTACGTTTTGTCTCTGTTGGGTTTTTGATTATCAAAAAAAACCTGAGCCACCTGGTTCACAACTGTAAACCGTCTGCACTTGCTTTTGGAATCTTTTATACTTTGGTTAAATGGCTAAGTATGGTTTCAAAATGATCCGTGAGCCTGCCAAGTCACGTGTTCAAACCTTTTGATAGAAAGTTGCCAAAATCAAGGTCTGAAATGAAATCTTTTATTATTATTGTTTAAGATTTTATTTATTCATAGAGACCCAGAGAGAGAGAGAGAGAGAGGGGCAGAGGGAGAAGCAGGCTCCATGCAGGGAGCCCGACGTGGGACTCGATCCCGGGACCCTGCGCTCACGCCCTGGGCCGAAGGCGGATGCTCAGCCCCTGAGCCCTCCCCGGGGATCCCCTGACACGTAGACTTCGGCTCCGATGCTTTCACGGAAGCTTCCCTGCAGGTGTTTCGTCTTCAGTGAGACCCTTGAAGGAAGGAACCCTGAGTCCAGGTTTCTTCTGATGACCTTGATCATAAAACTGAACTGGGTAAGAATTTCTGGAACTAGTAGAAAAACTAGACTCAAGCAGAACAAGAACCAAGAACATGGGACCGAATGAAGAGGATGATTATAATTTCTATGACATTCCTGTTGGAACCACTAATGATTTTTATATTTTGAGGGTTTTTGTGTTTTTTTTGGATTTAAGGAAAAGGTTTTCTTTTAACTATGACTTAGAGCAATTTGATAAAACGTATGTTTGGGGAAAAATTGGAATATTTGTCTTTTTCTCCTTATCTGATCTTTCCAGAATTCCTAAACGCCCAGCGAGGATCCTTACGTTTTCATAATGATTTTTTGTGTGCGTGAATTCAGGACCAGTCTGTCCTCCCCGTAGCAGGCCACGGCCGGGAACACTGGCCGTCCTGCCAGAGTCGTCACTGGGACGTCCCCGCGGCGGAGGGACCGCAGGGACCCGACCGCTTTAAGGCTGACTTGGGGGAACAGCCCGGGAGCTTGCTCGCAGGCTCCGGCTCCCGTGCTCGGTGAATCGTGGCGGCCGGGAGAGGGCTGAGCCCGAGCTCTCGGGGAGGCCCGTGGCCCGTGTGGCTCGGCTGCTGGCCTCGGTCAGGAGATTCCTCACAAAACCCGCAGATTGGAAAGGGCCGCTGGGAGCGGTCGTCACTGCCGCTGTCCTCAGGTGAGTGACCGCAGCAGGTGAACTGAAGCTGGGTCTATTTCGCAAACAAATCGGTCTCAGTCAGGCTAATAGGGTTGACCTATTTTTGGCAGAACTAAGGGTGATTAGAGACAAAGGTCTCACTGACGCGATTGGGGATGTTGGGTTCTCATGGAGCGCGTCGGACCCTGGGCCGGGCCGGGCCGGTGCCTGGTGCAGCCGTCCACGTGAGCGTCTTGGGCTTTCTCCCCTGTGGCCTCGGAATCCTCTGAGACCTAAAACGCCTTCTCCTGAGCCCTGGCCACGGGAGCGTCGGAGAAGCCGCGGCAGCCGCTCGGGACGGACGGTCCTCGAGCCTGGAGCCTGTTCCCTGAGCCGCTCGGGGGGCCGCGGGAGGCGCATCTGTCCCTGCCGCCACCCAGGGCGCGCCCACGCCGGACCCCCCGGCCGGCTGCCCTCCGCGTCACTGACCCGTTCAGAGTCCGACCCAGTCCTTAGCCATCGTTGCCCGTTTATCTCCCAGAAATGCCTCTTGTCATCTGATTGTTGGAGCCGTGGGCAGCCCCGAGCGGCTCTCCCGTCACTGTGTCCCCGAGGAGTTTACCTGAATCCGCTAGTGTCCGACCGAGAGCTCCAGCGAGGACCGCCCCGCCGGGTCGGTGGTTCTCTGCGACTTCTGGGGAAGCGTCAGTGAGGGGACTGCAGGGCCCAGGGCGGGCCACCCCCGGGGTCCCACTTGGGCGTATTGGTTATTTCAAATAAAGTCATTTAAGAGACAGACTACACAGCAGGGACGCTCTGCCCCCCACGTCCCCCCCCCCCCCCAGCAGGAACCGAACCTCCCACGTGCGGACGAGCCTTCCTGTACCACTGGGTGTAGACAACCCTGTGACTTGTAACTAATTCGCCGCCTCGGTCCGGGTTCCGTGGAGAAGTCCTTCTCCTCACTCATCGAAGCTCCCAAAGTTTTCCTTGTCCTGCTAATTCCTTAGACACTCGCACTGTTGATAAAGTATAGAAACTGGCTGCCGTGGTCATTGGTCATTTCTCCGGGTGCCAGCGGCATTGCGAGGCCTCTCCGGGTGGTTTCTTTTTTCCTCCTGTTAATCTGTCTCGTATCCGTTTAATTCTTAGACCAGCTAGAAGAACCTTGATGGGTAGAATAAAAATTGAATCCCTCCCCCAGAAATGCTAGGAATTTTGAGAGGCAGACGATGGCCACGCGCGCTGGGTCACTTCCTCCTGCCCTGGGGAGGTCCTGCACCGAATCTGCTTAGGGCACATACTGGGCTGACTCTTAAAGATTGATTTAGGCCAACACTGCGTGCAGTTTGTCGTCAGAAATGAAAATCGTACATATTTGATAGAATTTCAGTTACGTCACTATTCCATTTGCAGACACTTGGCTTTCTCCATGAAACACTATGTTCATAAAATTCAAATTACACAAGACTAAGAGTTTAGTACGAATTCAGCATATTACACAAATCTCTACAAACACATTGAACACGTTTTATGTAGAAATGTAAATATTTATTCAAAAGTAGATACAAAAAAGAATAGTCGCGTGAAATCATAAAAAATAGTAAAGTTCCTTCTAAACTGATAATATTTTCTCTACAATTTGCTTTATTGAGATATATTAGCCTCTTTACATCCTAGGAAGCAGGAATCTAGCAACAGAAAGTAGTCGGCTGCGCTACGTTCAAGGTAATGGGAGATACAGAGGTGAGACCACCAATCTTTTGTTTTCCTCAGTGTGTATTGATCCAAGCACAGCATTTAGGGCCGAAACCCCGAGAAGCCCGTGGAGCAAACTCTTAGCACGGAGCAGGGTTCGGTACGCCTGCGTTCCCAGAATTGATTAAATGAACGAAACCAACAGAAAAACAAAAACCCCAACGTCTTGTAATTGCTGAGGATCGTGACTGCAGGCCCTGCCAAAGACCAGAATACCTTCCACCTTCCCTGTTTTACCAGAGTGATTAGTGATGATTTAGTACAGTCACTTTGTTTAGAGTTTGGAGTGAGCAGATCTTCTTCTTTTCTTCTCTAGAAGCTACTAGGCTGTGTTGGCGCCACAGCTCAGCCTCCTTCGGTGCCAGAGCCCTCCTGTGCTGTGTGCAGCTCCTGGCAGTGGTACTTCACTTTCAGCGGCTTACCTGGGTACCAGACCAAGTGAATGCGGCAGGGGATGATTTCCTAGAAAATAAGGGTCCCAGATACTAGGATCCGCCAAGACGTGCGGCGAACGCAGCTGTGTGCCGCGGGGGTGCTGGCGATCCTGAGCCCGTCTGGGCCCCCACCCTGCCGGTGTCCATGAAACGAGCTCCCTTGGGAACATGTCCAGGCCCTGGGGGGACCGTGTGCCCTGCCCCGAATGCCAGAGGCTTGTTTTGATCTTCCCTACAGTCGATCTAGTAAAGACCCCCCACCCCCCAACCCTGCACAGGCGGTGCCAGCAGGTCTGTGAGGTGTCAGCCCCCTGACCTCAGGGCAGTGGCCTCCACACACCCTCTTGTTCCATAAAATCTGTGGACTAACAGCCTGGACCGAGCCCCGTGGCGCCTCGTCACCCGCCTGCCGACCCCCCTTGTCAAGAAGTTACCCCGAATAAAACCCCGTGACAACGGCGTGGAGCTGCCTGCTTCGTTTTCTGGCCCCAAGGCGCGCTCCGCGTGGACACTCCCCGCCCCTCCGCCACCTCCTACGTACGTAGGGTTTTGTTGTACCTGCGTCGAGAATTCGTGGAGCAGAACCGTGTAATCAAAATCAATTGCGTCCTCATTCGTTTTCTAGGGAAGGAAAAAGGGAGTGAGTGCAATGAACCGGGTGGGTTCCTGTTTAGCTGCGGGCCCTGCCTCAGCTCCCCTGGGGGTAGCCCGCGGCCCCCAGGAAGTCATGGCCTCCTACTGCTTTGTCACCGGTTCGGGGACAACCTAGTTGTCCAGCACTCCCGCTCTCCAGTCGGTGTGGTTCCTGGCTCCGGGTGGAGGCGGGGCCCCGTGCGGATACGGAGGACCCTCCGACAACCTTGGGAATCCAGACTGCACCTCCCTGACCGGGCGGCCAGCACTTCCAAAGGCCACCGTGGACCAAGTTCTGTGCTGCGCACTTTCCACGTGCCGTCGCGTGATCTCTGTCCTGCGGGAGTGCGGATCATGAGCCGAGCGTTACAGGCTCCAGGTTGCAGCTGGTAAGTGAAAAACGGACTTAAACCAGATCTACTGACTTTACCACCCGCGTTCTTTATGCCACTGCCTCTAGAACCAGTAGGCTGGAGGTTTCTAGGCGGGCAGGCTACTTACCACGTGTTTGTACAGTTTAAAAATTGGTTTTGGGGGATCCTTGGGGGCTCCGCGATTTACTGCCTGCCTCCGGGATCAGGGCGTGATCCTGGGGTCCCAGGATCGGGTCCCACATCGGGCTCCCCGCACGGAGCCTGCTTCTCCCTCTGCCTCTCTCTCTGTGTCTCTCATGAATAAATAAAATCTTTTTTTAAAAAAGTTGATTTTACGTATAAACTTGAAGTTTTTTTTTCCTTTTTTTTCCCCGGGACAATGCCTTCTTATTCTGTTTTTGAAAATAGCATTTCTGGAGGAAAATCATAACAGTCTCTAGATTTTAGACAAAAAAAAGGGGAAACCCTGAAACAAATAATGGATTTCCAACTCCGTCTGATGACTACTTTGCTAAAAAACACAGTGTTACATGTCTTTTTTAATATTACAATGTTTGTAAACCCTGTACCATTTAATTTAGACCTTCCTCAGTAACATTATTAAACCTTTACATTTTTGTTTTTATAGAGTCTTCCTTCTGTGGGAGGAAGCACCATCCACCAAACCAGGGAGCAGGAGGGGACACTGCACATCCTGGCCTGGCAAATTATTCCAGGGTTGGGCCACCCCCGCCGGGGCACACTCTGCCAAGAGGTAGTTCTTTTTTTTTTTTTTTTTTTTTTTTTTTTACGATTTTATTTATTTATTCATGAGAGACACACAGAGAGAAGGAGGCAGAGATACAGGAAGAGGGAGGAGAAGCAGGCTCCATGCAGGGAGCCCGATGCGGGACTCAATCCCAGGACCCCAGGATCACGCCCTGAGTCAAAGGCAGACGCTCAACCGCTGAGCCCCCCCAGGCGCCCCTGAGGCAGTTCTTTTTAATATTATCCAGAAATGATCTCTTTGGCTTTGGTTCAAATGATCACAAATGCCAAATCCTTCCCTCCAAACTGATGATTTCCTTTTACATTTTCCAGTAACTAAGCGCTTTAATCTTCCTAGAGACAGACTGCACGATCCCCACAGACCCAGCGTGGTCTGAGCCGAGAGGAAGTGGGCCTAATTATTAATCTACGCTACCTGAAGGAGGCCTCCTGGGCGATTATATGGGGCAGGTAGGGCGGCTTCCAGGACGCAGCCTTGGCCAGCAGGGCCGTCCCGCCAGGCTAAGGCCTCGGGCTGCTCGCTGGTGCTGCAGGATACTGAGGGGTGCTGACGACACCTGGTCTGGACTCGTAAGTGTTGGAACAAGGCTCACTTGTACCTTTTCTCAGTTCAAATTAAGGGCCAAGGGTGTGTGCAAAGTCCTCATCTGGTTTTGTTTCTCTTTAGCCAGCAGTACCTCCCTTGCCCTTGGTACGGTCCCTGTGGCATTAAGGATGACACCTGTTCCTCCGTCTAAAGTGACAGCTGTGCGGGTCAGGTGGGTCAGTCTCTACGTGTCTTGTTACCCCAGTCTGCCCTCAGGCCTTGTTCCCCTGGAGCTGTGAGTCTGTACGCCTGCCCGTCCCTGCACACGGCATCTAAAGGGGACTTTAACCCTGAGTGTAAAGACAGGGACTCCCACTCCAGAAGTTTTCAGAAAAACCATAATCTCTATACTTCCCTGAGCCACCTTGGGCCACAGAGCGCCTCCGGGCACTTCCTGCGCCGCGCTGTCTTGGCTCTATCGGCCCTGCCATCCTGCATCTAGTCTTCGAGAAGAGTAGGTTGATCTGATCTTAGGGACTCTGTAAAGCAAACTTCCTTGTTTTGCTTGTCGCCAGGTTACTGCTTTTGCTGACAGATCATGGAAATCCTTTGTGGCTACAGAAGAGCAGAATCTGAAATTCTATGTGGACATGTGCATACTTTTCTTTAAGGAAACTCTAAATGTGTATCAACTTTGAAACCAAATTTACCGATTGCTCTAGTGGTTTAGATTTATGTTAATTTCAAGGACTTTAGTAAATTTGTTAATCCTCCTTAAATAGGCCCTAAGAGATGAAGCTGTATATTCAGTTACTATTTATCTAAAACCCAAACCTCACAGGGTAAAAAAAAAAAAAAAAAAAAAGGCTAAAGCTGTTACTAAGTGACCATTGCCCCTCTGCATTTTTGTTTTCTTAACTCTACAATTACTTATATCCCAATTTTCCCATTTGTAGGTTGGATGAGTGACATTCATGGACAGACGAGAGGCACTGAAGACTGGCTAAACCAAGGCAGAAATAAAGTTGAATATTTGGGCCATACTACGTCCAGGTGGTTGTTAGTTTGGTAACAGGTCACGTACAACTGCAAATGAAAAGAAAGTATGGACATTAAGGGGTCGTAAGGAGGGGGAAGAAGGCACAGTAGGAGGATTCCAAGCTCATCTCATTCCCTGGACACACTGAACCAACCACTGCATATATTACAACTAACTCTGAAAGTAACTTGAGAAATTGGCAAAGCTCTTCCACAGCTGGTTGTAGAGAGAAGGTCACATCACAAAAGCTAGGAGAGGTGGAGACACGACGGGGCACCAGACCCCTGACAGGACAAGCACAAATGGGATGGATATCACAAGCGCACAAGAGTGAGAGGATCGGGAGGAGGGGCAAGGCGGCGGAAGAGCAGGGTCCCCAAATCACCTGTCCCCACCACATTACCTAGATCACCTTCAAACCATCCTGAAAATCTACGAATTCGGCCTGAGATGTAAAGAGAGACCAGCTGGAAGGCTACAGTGAGAAGAGTTCGCGCTTCTATTAGGTCGGAAGACGGGGGAAAAAGAAAGAAAGGAACAAAAGGCCTCCGAGGGGGAGGGGCCCCGCGAGGAGCCGGGCTGAGGCCGGGGCGAGTGTCCCCAGGACAGGAGAGCCCCGTCCCGGAGAAGCAGGAGCTGCACCAACCTTCCCGGGCGGGCGGAAAGGGGCTCGCAGGGAGGTGGAGCAGGACCCAGGAGGGCGGGGATGCCCTCGGGCTCCCGGGGACACTAACAGGCACCTGCAAGCGCAGGAGAGTGCACCGAGCTCCCTAAGGGCTGCAGCACGCACCGGAGCAGTTCGGAGGGGCTCGGGAGCGGCTCCAGGGAGGGAGCTGCGGGGCGGGAGCGCAAATCCAACAACGCAGGCCCGGGAGCACAGGGCGCCGGGACACAGCCCAGGATCCGGCCTCCCCCGGGACAGGCAGAGGCCGGGAGGGCCCAGGACAGCGAGGACGCTCCTGCCCCGAGCTGAGCAGATGAGCGGCCCCGCCCCGGAGCCTCCAGGCCCTGCAGACGGAGAGCTCCGGAGTTACTGCGAGGGCTGACTCCAGGGCTGCAGAGCTGGCCCCGCCACTGCGGTTGTTCCTCCTGAGACCTCACGGGGTGAACAACCCCCTCTGAGCCCGGCAGCAGGCAGGGGCAGAGCAGCTACCCCAAGTGCTAACACCTGAAAATCAGTACAGCAGGCCCCTCCCCCAGAAGACCAGCTGGACGGACCAGTTCCAGGGGAAGTCAAGGGACTTAAAGTCTACAGATTCAGAAGATACTCCCCCGTGTTTTTTTTTTTGTTTGTTTTGTTTTTCTTTTTTCTTTTCTTTTTGATTTCTGATTGCTTCCCCCACCCCCCTTTTTTTCACCTTTCTTTCTTTTTCTTTCTCTTTTTCTTCTCTTTTTTCCCCTTTTTTTCTTTTTTCTTTCTCTTTCTCTTTCCTTTTCTTCTCTCTCTTTCTCTCCTTTTCCCAATACAACTTGTTTTTGGCCACTCTGCACTGAGCAAAATGACTAGAAGGAAAACCTCACCTCAAAAGAAAGAATCAGAAACAGCCCTCGCTCCCACAGAGTTACAAAATCTGGATTACACTTCAATGTCAGAAAGCCAATTCAGAAGCACTATTCTACAGCTACTGGTGGCTCTAGAAAAAAGCATTAAGGCCTCACGAGACTTCATGACTGCAGAATTTAGATCCAATCAGGCAGAAATTAAAAATCAATTGAATGAGATGCAATCCAAACTAGAAGTCCTAACGACGAGGGTTAACGAGGTGGAAGAACGAGTGAGTGACATAGAAGACAAGTTAATGGCAAAGAGGGAAACTGAGGAAAAAAGAGACAATCAATTAAGGGACCATGAAAACAGATTAAGGCAAATAAATGACAGTCTAAGGAAGAAAAACCTACGTTTAATTGGGGTTCCCGAGGGCGCCGAAAGGGCCAGAGGGCCAGAATATGTATTTGAACAAATCCTAGCTGAAAACTTTCCCAATCTGGGAAGGGAAACAGGCATTCAGATCCAGGAAATAGAGAGATCCCCCCCTAAAATCAATAAAAACCGTTCAACACCTCGACATTTAATAGTGAAGCTTGCAAATTCCAAAGATAAAGAGAAGATCCTTAAAGCAGCAAGAGACAAGAAGTCCCTGACTTTCATGGGGAGGAATATTAGGGTAACAGCAGACCTCTCCACAGAGACCTGGCAGGCCAGAAAGGGCTGGCAGGATATATTCAGGGTCCTAAATGAGAAGAACATGCAACCAAGAATACTTTATCCAGCAAGGCTCTC